TCCCTGATAAAGATTTGTAATAAACTGGTCGGACCAACATTTGAACCGTTGCTTCTTAATCTCACGCCGGGTATATAGATAGTAAAAGAACCTCCTCTCCCTCCTATAAATTGGAGCAAGACATCATGGCACCCCAGAAAGAATTGAGTCAGATAATGGGACTCATTTCAAAAATTCTCTTGTGAATACTTGGGCCAAAGTTCATGGTTTTATCATATCCCCTATCATGCACCAGCTTCTGGTAAAATTGAACGCTACAATGGGTTGTTAAAAACTATGTTGAAAGCAATGGGTGTCAGAACATTTAAGCATTGGGAGAAGCATTTGGCAGAAGCCACCTGGTTGGTCAATACTAGAGGATCAATCAATCGCGATGGTCCTGCTAGCTCCCTACATACTGTCAAGGGAGATAAGGTCCTGTAGTACATGTAAAGAACATGTTAGGAAAAGCAGTTTGGGTCCTTCCAGCTTCTGGGAAGGGCAAACCTCTGTGTGGAACTGTTTTTGCCCAGGGACCTGGATCCACCTGGTGGGTGATGCAGAGAAACCAGGATTTTCAATGTGTACCACTAGGGAATTTGATGTTGAGGGAGTGCAGTCAGTAATTCCATGTATATATATAGGTTTGTCTGTGTGTGCATTTAATGTTTGGTAATTATTGCTTGTTTGCATATATTAAGCATGATGTAGTGATGTAGAATAAGGGGTGGAATGTCATGGTTTTGTGATTTTTGGTTTTTGATATTCCACATAATAACATCATGTGGGGCCCTGGGAGTTTAACTGTTAATGCTCAAGTTCTAGGTACCTGCCCAGAAGAGAAGAACTACATTCCCCAGGGGACTTTGCGGTCACAGAGAGGAGATATAACTCCTGGCAGGGTCACCTGATGAGCTCTTTTTTTGTCCGCTCTTCTTTGTTGGCTCTCCTCTTGTCTCCCTGCTGCTCAACTGGACTGCGCATCTCACGTCAGCGTTGTGGTGAGGCCTATCCACCTTTTAGACATTCTGTCTCTCGTTGTATTTGATTTATTAGCTTCAATTCTGATTATATTGCATTATAGTGTGTTATCTTGCATTCTGATACTGTATTTAGTAAAATAGTTTGTTTCTCCTCAGATCGTTGCCACTGTTTTTAATTATTTTGGGGTTCCCTTTTGCGGAGGCACGGATTTTGCGAAATCCTTCTGCCCCGCTAGTCACAGAACTCGGTCAAACCAGCCCGTAAACCACTGACATAGTGCACAGCAGCATTCTGCTCCCAGCACTACCCTCATTGACAGTTGCTGGCTCATAGCATTCCTTACAGATGCAGGACCATGAGATGGTAAAATAAAAGTATTAATAATGGCTGTGAAAAATTAATTTTTACTATCTGTTCACTGTGTGCAAAACTATTCTACATAGTGATAAGCCGTAGTTGACAGTGCACATCAACAAACAAGTGTCAGAGGTATACACTCAATGAGGAAGGCAGCGGTGGCTGGTGCACAGAACGTGCAAACATCAAGTGACACCAGCTGTGCTCTGGGATAGAGGAGTACCTCACAACTACTCATGTACAAGTAATAGAAATGAGACAGGAAAAATTTACCAACAAACCAAATTATTATGAATGAGGATGAAGAGACAAAGCAGAATTCATGTATCCAATACACAATTTCCAGAGCGATTAAGAAGGGTTACAGAGGTGGCTGAGAAGGATCCATATTTTTTCAAACACTTCCATCATTAAAATTGCTAAAATTTAATGATGAATAACAGAATCTCACAAATCTTTTGGGGTAAAATGCTCCACATTTATTTACATATGAAATGTGTTTAATACAGTCGTAATGGGCATAGTGTATAGTAACATCTGACAGCAGGAAAACTTTAAGGAAATGAACAATTACTACTGTATATCATGCAGCTATCTATATATAAACTATTTGTTTTTTTAAAAAAAAGTACAAAACAGTTTTGTAGGGATACATACAAGGTATAAAATGCAAAACCAAAACAAAAATATAACTCTTACAGAGAACCATATACGAAAGGGACAGTATGGTACCTTTCTGTCCTTGGTGAAAGCATAACTAGTGATGTTAGATATACTCTGAAATGGCTGAATTAGCTCTGTAAGGTCTGTGCTAATGGTGAAGCCCCTACTCACGTAGGCTGGTGTGTGGTGTGTTTGCTTCTTGATGGCTGTGGTTGAATGTAACGCTGAGCACCAGAACATTTGGCAATAGCTTACAGAGATGGGAAACACCAACCTCGGCAGCAAGTGTTAACTATTTTCTTTTGATAACCAGAAGTATAGGAAAATACATAATGCTGTGTAATCGCTTCTATACGTTTAATAAATTACATGACAAAAAAATCATAAGTATATGCCTATTTCTGTAATTACATCTTACTTGTTTAATCTAGAGCAGCCCAGCCCTTTTACAACTATTTGAGCTTTGACTGTAAGCACCTGTTGGCTAAAAATTACTTCATTATATATACGTATATATATTTGTGCAATTACATTTTTCAAAAGTACTTTATTACTCTGGGGGATCTGCATCTGTTTTGGTGTTGACATCTAAATCAGCACTGCACTTTACATGTGCAGCTTCCTAACACATTTAGAAGCACGAGTCCTGTGAAATTCAACATTTCCCCTTGGCTTACTTTCTTCCTTTTTCCCCTCCAAGCACTGCCTTCTGCTAAACTTTCTTTCAGAAACATTCATATAAGAAACAGTTTAAGAGAACCTAAGAAACTGTCCCAGCATTAAGAACTCTGTTTTAGAGAAACATACTACAAAAAACAGAAACAAAATAAAAAAACTTTTTTTTCCACTAGATACCAATAAAAGCACATAACAAAGAGTATAAAAGTTATTAGCTTAAATATATACAAACTCTTTTCAACTCAAATACTGCTTCAGTGGTTTTGAGGGTACAGACAATGAGGCGAAGGGGGACGTTATTATGCAGAATATATTGCAACAGCCTGAACAGTACTGTTAACACTATTATACCTTGAACTTTCTGTAACAAAAATGTCATTATTATTCCAATGTGGAGAGAGATTTCTATATGCCAATGAACTGATTACTTTTCAGCTGAGCTCATTCTTTTTGACTTAATGAAGGCCATGCCATGTGTTCTCATGTGAGTATTTAAGGCCGCTTCAGTTTCAAAAGTCTTTGAGCACACTTTGCATCTTCTCTCCAACACTGTGTTGTCAGACAATTCATCCTCATGGTTGGGTTTATTCTCTTGCTGATTATCCTCCCTGGATCCATTCTGCTTTGATACTGGCTGTGGCTCCTTCAGCTTGTGTACAATGAAGAGATGCCTGGAGAGAGACACATGAGACGTGTAGCAGAGTCCACACTCCCTGCACTGGTATGAAGAGCCATCAGATTTATGCTGAGGAATATGTTCGTGAAACTGGAGAAGATTTTCTGTTGTAAAGCCACAGACAGCGCACTTATGAACCTTAAAAACATTTATTTTTAGCTTCTTCAGTGGTTGTGTGATTGCGCCTCGTGGAGGCCTGAATTCCAGTATAGGTTCTTCCAGTTTACGCTTTGGACTAGGAACCTAAAAAAAGTCATAAATAGTATTTTTGTAAGCATAAATACGTAGTGACTGCAATGACCATGACTGCCAACTACAAAAACTTTCCCCTGGTAGGTTCCAGTGCAACTTCAATAAATACAGTATTTAAAATAATACAAGCAAATATATGTTGTTAATATAAATTGCATACAAATTTTATTTTGTCAGCTCTGATAAAGCAACAGTACCTAATGCACTGTATAAACAAGATTAAGTATTTGCCAGTGTAACTGCAAGTACACATTAATGTGACTGCAGTTGTGTATAGAATGCAGAATATAAGTCTAGGAACTCTTCAGCAGTACCTTCTGAAACTGTACTTCAACTACACTTAATATTTCATAAATGAAATTTGACTTGATTATCTCCTGATTATTAGTAGCCAAATTAATATATTGTCAAAGAGTGAAGCACAAGTCTTTGGACAGTGCTGTCTTCTTATTTTTGCTTTCCTCCTAACACTCATCATCATAGTGAAAGCAGTTTCACTCTAACATTTATGTCAAATAAACTCAAAGCTGGGTATTTGGGATAAGCTCACAGTTCTTCTATGTGACCTGTAACTTTTCTACAGCTATGAGAGGACTTAGTTGCAGAGGTTTTGAAAAGTGTTCATAAACCAAACAGGTAAGTTATATTCTCCATCATTCAGTGAATAAAATAAACTGTAAGTCTTTTGAAAAATAAGTTCCAGTTCAAACATAAAAGAATTTGTTGCAGGAACCTTTGAGACGTCCTGGGGGCTCAACTTCACACAGCAGAATTTTATGGTATCAAGATACCTGCATCTATTTAAAGATGCTGAACGTATATCCACAAAAATTTAATTCAGTGACTGAATTAATCTTCTAAGTGATTACCTTTGTATCTTCTTTTACTTCCCTTTCCTCCATACTAGTTAATTCAGTCATTTCTTTTACATCAGGGTCTTTAATGCCATGCATCAATTGAATATGTTTTTCCAACATCAATCGCTTGGTAAAAGTACGTCTTGAATCTGGGCAGTGCCTATATAAACACAGAGCAGGCGTGTAGAGGTTCAAATGTCATGCTTTAAAATAGATGTGCAATTCTGGATAATGTGAACAGAACTAGTAAATAAGCCCAGACAAATCCAATCTATTAAAGATAATATTAAAAACAATGCTTTTCCAATCAATTGCACAAATATTATAAGAGAGGGAGAACAATTAGAAAACAAAACTGCAAACGGTTGAGCAGCTTATATTCACAGTAAATGAGAGAAAAGTTCTCTGAAGATAATATCCAAAACAGCACAAAATGAGGGTAAGAAAAAAAACAGGAACATCTGAGTTTGTTTCTTACACTTCTCTTAATGTAACTAAACTGTACATTCAATTAAACACTTTAAGTTCTCCCTAAACTAAATTTCAGCAAGAAAACACTTTCCATGAAGGATGAGTGCTAGCTCCAAAGGAGTCTTAATTCTGCATTCAAGTCCAAATTCTTTGATATCCGTGGAACTAATGTACGGGACTGAGGTTAGGTTGGGTTATTCTAACCTCAGAGCTTGGAAAAGTTACAAAGAGAAATTCAGTTAACAATGTTTGTTGTTGGTGTATACTCTGCCCCTAGTATCTTTAAAAAATAAATAGAAGTAGAACTTACGAGCATGTATAAACCTTCCTAATGCCTTTGTGCTTGATACGATTGTGACGACATAAACTATGGGATGAACTGAAAGATTTGTCACATTGTCGACAAGGGTGTTTCTTCGTTTGCTTTAAAAAAAGAAAAACACATTAATTAAAAAAAATCTAAACAAAAGTAGTGCATGTGCCAATCTCTAATAATAGGAAAGAAACACACTTAACAGTAACTGGCACTGTATACTCAAGCACGCACCTTTCCTACAGCAGCATTGTAGGAAACAGAGAAAATAGATCTTTATCAAAGCAGTGTGGACAACACACACCTACCAAAGACTGTAAACAGGTACCACAAACTGTGGATAAAATGAAGGTCTTCTATCAAAGAAGTAAGAAAAATCAGGAAGCTATTTCTAGATCAGTAAAAGCAACATGAACAGAGACGTGCTTTCACCATAAAGTCACCTTTCCATTCTGTATGGGAACTGCTGAATCACAGCCTGAACCTCTGATTGATTACCTGAGACGACCAAAGAGTCAGCCACAGGAGCACAGGTGAAGGCAATTCACCTGTGCTGCTGGAAGGGGTGGAGCCTGGCTCCACATCTCCTAGACCCATTTAAGAGCTGACAAGGAGCAAAGAAAGATCTTTTCTGGAGGTTCCTCCTCTGGAGTTTTGTAGTGAGTCTAGGATGTGGGTAAGCTTTTTATCTACTATCTATACTCTTTTTGTTATTATAATCTGCTTTGCCAAACTCTCTTGTTTATTTCATTATTATAACATCTTTATATTAATTGGCTATACAAGTGGGCCAGGCAGGCCAAATATATTAAAAGTTACATCACGTCCTTCCTATGGAATTTCTATAAATGGGTTAGGGGGAGAATGCTACCTGCCCTAGACAAAATGTTTCTAGGGCAGCAGATCCCAGGATTTGTGGGATGTTTCTATTTTGAACTGGACTAGCAGTTATCAATGAAAAATGGGGGTCCCTACGTGTTATGGGAAATATGTTCCCATATTGCATGGTAGATTATTTTCAGGGACTTAACAAAAACATACTGATCATAAAAGAAAAACAACTGGCTCCCTTCAAGATGGTGTGGCCACTATTAAATCCTTTAAATCACACAGAAAAATGGAATAATACTTTAGAAAATGAAAGCCAACTTTTGAAAAGCTGTACAGAGAAGTTAGAGCAAGAACTGCACATATTAGCAAGGTAGTAACCGATTCTGCATCTTCCAATAGGTCAAGTTTGTAACACTTCAGTAGATAATGACCAGACTCTTGAATCAACAGACTTCGTTGATCAGGAAAATAAAAAAAATCTAAATTAGATCTCAAATCTCCGATTTTGACAAATCCTCTGGAAGTCCATCCTGTTATAACTCAGAAAACAAAAAGAGTACAGGACAGACTGGCAGGGGTGCCGCCTGATCAGTGGCCCCCTGCCCAGACTCATTTGCACGTAACAGCCCGGCCTTACACAGCAACAGAATTGATGGATTTAGTATAGCGATTTCAGCAGAAGCCTGGAGAAAGTGTGCCGGCTTGGTTATTAAGACTGTGGGATTCTGGGGCAGAAAGTGTTTTGGTGAATAGCCTGGAAATAGCCAAGTTGGCCACCATGACTGTCCATCCTGCTCTCAGGCAGAGGTTGTATGCGGGTAATCGATATTGTGATGAAAACCATTCTATAATAGAATGGTTAATGGTGGCCTGCCGTATGGTATGGCCAAATAAATCTGATAGCCCTCTTCATACAGGGCTGTGGTCCTCCATGGAGGACCTTCAAAATTATATCCATGAACTAGCCATAAGGGAAGCAATTTATGAAGACAAATTTGATGGCCTTGATATGGTCAAATTTTCAGCAGGGTTGGGAGCCTTGATTCTACAGCAAGTTCCCTCTCATTTGCATGGTACTTTGGTGTCTCTAATAAATTCCCTGGTGGCCTCAGAAGCAGTAGTCCAGCAGGCTGCCCTGTTAGTGGCCGACCTAGGAGAAACAGGACGCCTGTGGACCAGGAGCAACATTTGGACATTAGAAGAAGCCGAGGTCCTGCTGGTGACTGAAACCAAAATGCTGGCTACTCGAGCTCCTCAATCAGGACCCATAAGGGTCTCCCGAAAACAAATGTTCAATGATTTAATTTGGGCTGGGGTCCAATTTGCTAAGGTTGACTGCTAGCCCAACCATGTCCTTCTCCAGCTTTGGAGACAACTAAAGGATAATCAAAAAATTCTGAACTACCCTAAGAAACCAAGGGTAAGGGTTATAGAGAGAATACCAACAACGACATAGAACCTAGAGGATTTCATTGTTCCTGATAGAGGGGGAAAAAAAAAAAGCTGCCTCAGGTGTCTTGGGCTACGATGCCTGAGCCACCAGAAGCAAAAGAATTGGCCATAGCGCAATTCATGGTGTGACAAGGGATGTTAGTTCCCCTAGGGCCTCCAGGTGGGACCAGAGGCCCTATGTAGAATTAACGATTTATTGGTCCTGAAAAAATATTCAGAGAGTTATGGCATTACTGGACACCGGAGCAGAAGCATCAATTATCTATGGAGGTCCGAGGAAATTTGATGGGGACAGAGTGATGACTGGTGGTCTTGAGGGGCAGACTATTCCTGTCACCCAAACATGGTTGAAATTAGGGGTTGGGCATCTCCCACCCCGGGAGTACAAGGTGTCTATTGCCCCAGTCCAGGAATACATCCTGGGCATAGATATTCTGTGGGGTCTGGCTCTCCAGACAACTGTGGGAGAGTTCAGACTTGGACAGAGATGTATCAGTATCCGGGCAGTGCAGGCAATATTAAGAGGCCATGTGAAACATGGGCCTGTTTGCCTGTCGAAACGGTGTTGGATTACTGATGTGAGACAGCATAGACTCCTGGGTGGGCAAGGTAAAATATTGAGAACGGTGCAGGAATTAGAAGAAGTGGGCATTATAAGGCGTGCATACAGCCCATATAATTCCCCCATGTGGCCAGTGAGTAAGTCGGATGGCACGTGGAGAATGACAGTGGATTATAGAGAATTAAGGTCACGCCGCCTATTCATGAAGCCCAATATTGCCTCCCTAATGGACACATTGAGTAGGGAGATAAAAACCTATCACTATGTCCTAGGTCTAGCAAATGTGTTCTTCAGTATCCCAATTGCTGAGGAATCGCAGGATCGGTTTGCATTTACGTGGGGAGGCAGGCAGTGGACCTTTCAGGTCCTGCCCCAGGGGTTCAAGCATTCACCAACGTATTGTCATAATCTGGTGGCGCGTGGCCTGGCAGGTTGGACAAAACCTGATGATGTTAACCTATATCATTATATTGATGATCTCCTGCTGACATCCGACTCACTGGAGGCAGTAGGACAGGCGGCAGATTCATTAACCACCCATTTACAACAGAGGGGATGGGCTATAAATCCCCAAAAGGTGCAAGGTCCAGGCCTGTCCATAAAATTCCTGGGGGTGGTTTGGTCAGGAAAGACCAAAGTACTTCCCAGTGCTGTCATAGATAAGGTTCAGGCATTTCCAGTCCCTACAACATCAAAGCAGCTGCAAGAGTTTCTAGGTATATTGGGTTACTGGCGTTCCTTTATACCTCACCTTGCGCAGCTGCTAAGGCCACTGTACAGACTCTCAAAAAAGGGGCAGCTATGGGACTGGGGGGAAACAGAACAGGATGCTTTCCAAAAAGCAAAACTGGCAGTTAAACAAGCCCAGGCATTGGGTATATTCGATCCTACCCTCCTAGCCGAGTTGGGCGTTCACATTACTCAAGATGGCTTTGGTTGGGGCCTGTGGCAACACCAGAGTTCTCTTTGGGCCCCCATTGGTTTCTGGTCTCAGGTTTGGCATGGAGCAGAAGAAAGATACAGTATGATTGAAAAGCAGTTATTGGCTGCCTATTTGGCATTACAGGCGGTAGAGCCAATAACTCAAACGGCTGAAGTTATCGTCAAGACCACTCTGCCGATCCAGGAGTGGGTGAAAGATCTGACCCACCTTCCTAAGACAGGGTGGCCCAAGCACAAACAGCGGCACGATGGGTCGTCTACCTCAGCCAAAGGAGCAGTCTGTCTTCATCACCCTTGAAAGAAGAACTCCAGAAGATCCTAGGCCCAGTGACGTATCACAGTGATGCACCAAAAGAAATACTGGTCGCTCCACCAGAGAAGAGTCCCGTTCAGGAGGGAAAATATCCTATCCCTGAAGATGCCTGGTACACAGATGGGTCCAGCAAGGGCAACCCAAGCAAGTGGAGAGCAATAGCGTACCATCCTTCCACCGAGACAATCTGGTTTGACGAGGGGGATGGTCAGAGCAGCCAATGGGCAGAACTGCGAGCCGTGTGGATGGTTATAACCAAGGAACCCGGTGATGGTATCCTGAACATTTGCACAGATAGTTGGGCTGTGTACCGGGGGCTCACTCTCTGGATTGCACAGTGGGCCACCCAGGAATGGACTATCCACGCCCGACCGATCTGGGGCAAAGACATGTGGTTAGACATATGGAATATGGTCAAACACAGGACCACAGAAGCTGACACGCTGGCCTGAGTTCGATGGATTGAGAATTCGCCATCTGAGGTCATCGCCCGTTGGTTACATCAGAAGCTACGGCATGCTGCACAAAAGACAATGTGGGCAGCTGCTAAAGCATGGGGACTGCCCATACAGCTACCTGACATCGTCCAGGCATGCTAAGATCTCTTCTGGAGATCTTTCCTCTGGGGTTTTGCAGCGAGCCCAGGACATGGGTAAGCTTTCTATCTATTCTCTTTTTGTTATTATAATCTGCTTTGCCAAACTCTCTTGTTTATTTCAGAGTTGTAACATCTTTATATTCATTGACTATACACCTTCCCATCGCCAGATGATTTCTGCAGCTGCTGAGAGGTTACCAGTCACCCACAAGATGAGGGGTTAAAGACACTCTTTAAATAAGGACTAAAGCAAATAATCATGAATACTTATGTGCTAACAAGGCTCAGAAAAGTCACAAGGAAATGAGAGAAACAGTCTGATGCCAACTTGAGGGACATCTGTTTGGGTAAATCTATGTGTTTCCTTTGCTACGTGGAAGGAGAAAGAAAAGGAAGGAAGGTAAGAAGTATGGATTAGTTTCAGTCTATGCTGTTCCACCTGAACACACTTATGGGAGCTCTAGTATCTGAAGAAATAATGTATAAAACTATAGAACTATA